AATAAAAATAGCCTATATTTTCTTAAAACCAAAAAAAGGTATCATTTTCAGTTGTCTAAAAATGATACGAAAATGTTATGAAGAAGGTGTGCACCTAATTAAAAATGTTGTTTTTTTATAATATTTTCGTTTGCACCTCTTCCCTGTCATTCCTAAGCCTTAAATTATGTTGTCTTCGCTTAGACACTTTCCATAGATTGGGGTAGGAAATAAGCTTGACTCTCCTAAAAAAGTTCTCTTTAATCCCTCAATTAACCGTATAATTTATAAATTAGTCTAATTGAAAATTTACGTTTTAGTCCCCTAAGATTTAAAAATTAATTTTGGATCCCCAAAGAACATAATTTCATTTTAATTGAGAGTATTATAATAATAATGTCAACCGAGCTGTAAACACATCCATAATCTTATTATTAAATGCTTCCAACATTTAATTTAATATAATGATCTTGTTATATTAGATATCTTCATTTATTCGTAGAAATTAACAAATCCTGAATGAAACAATGTTTGATGTCTTTTTGTTTGCATTGGATCTTGCAATTTTGTTTTTTTTTTTGTAAAATAATCTTAATAAAAGATGAATTTATTTTATACAGATAATTAATTATGTTTTGCCCTTAAAGAAAATAATTACTCAATTATAAACTTGAACCAATCTCTTCTTATGAATCTTTGCAACTATGTTTAACAAATGAACTTCATTGCCTTTACCATAATATCATTAAAAAATACACTTTTTTTTGTTGGAATTTGAGATTTAATCATTTAGATTAAAATTTTACATAATTTGGTATGTTTACTTTTATAGTTAATACCTTTAACTATTATGAAGTCTGATAATTTCAGAGACATACAATCTAACATATTATTTAGAAAATAATGAACCTAAATATGAATAAAGTGAATTGATCTTGAAGAGACGATTCACAACGTCCAATACAGAATCTTCCTTAGTAAGTTTGATGGTAACTCGAATCTGAATAGATTGTAATAAATTAGAAGGACACAATTGCATGAATTTAATTTTTTAATAATATCAATTGGTCAATCATCACATAATAATATTTAATTTTTTTGATTAAGGGGTCAATAAAACTTATTTTATTTATTTTATTTAATATTGATAAACATTAAAAAAAATAGTTGGCAGGGCTTAGGATACTCTTGGCCCCTGCGAAGTTTAACCCTTATTTGGTTGAAGGATCTCTATTCAGTAAGTCAAGTAAGTAGAAAAAATGAATTAAAATGTCACATCATCACTCTGTTAATAAGTTAAGGAAAAATAATTAAAAAATATTTAATCTTCAAAGTTGATTTAGTAAATTGAAATTTTTTAAAGTTTATTGATTAAAATAAGAGAGAAAGAAATTTAATGATGATTTGTGTAATTTATCTTTATTTTTATATGACAAAAAGACATCAAAGGCCCTTGTATTTTTTAAAAAAAATCAATGTAATCCTTGAATTATACAATATGACCCTCCAACTTAAAAAAAAAAAGACAAACTTAATATGACATTTTGATCAATATTTTTTATCGTTGTCCATTATAATGTTGATGTGACGATTCACAATGTTAATGTGACGATTCATAATGTTGACATGATGATTCAAAATGTTGACATGATAATTTATGATGTTGATATAACGGTTCACATTGACTGTTGATTTGATAGATGACATGACAAATGGGTTAAATGAATTTTTTGGTGTTGTCCGAGTGTGAAATTGATTTTTTAAAGTTTAGGGGTTTATTTATTTTTTAAAGTTAAAATTATCTTAAATTGAAAAATTACAATATTCAAATATTCAAAAAATTAAATATAATAAATAATAAAAATAAAAATTAATTTTCTAAAAAATTAAATATATATTAATAATAATAAAAATACTATTAAAAATTTAAAAATTAAAAATATATAACAAGATATAAAAATAATAAATTATTAATTATTAAAAAATATTTTAAAAACTTATATTGTACATAATATATACATTAAATATATAATCATATCATTAACACTTTTACAAAGTACTTTGATTCAATTAGTCGTATCAATTATATTTCAAACAATTTTTAAGGTTCACTTATATACTAGCTTATGAAAAATTCTAGAATGAATGTCAAACTTTGATATGCACCACTAATTTTATAAGGTAAATTCACAAATGGATAGTAAGTTATATAAAAATGATATTTTTAGGCACTAAACTTTCAAAAGTTATATAACGAGCATTAAACTTTATATTTTGTTACAAAATGGGCACATCGCTATTATCTATCATTAAACTTTAGATTTTATTGTCAATTTTAATTAAAATATTTTTATTATATTTTTTGAATTGAAAATAAAATGGATATAAATAAATAAAATTTTATTTTTAGTATCATATTACAAATATTGAATTTATACCATATAAATTACTTGATATATTATTAAAATTTAAAGATTATTTTGATTATTTTTGTCTAAGTCTGGATGTATTTTGTTTAAGTTTGCATATATTTTTGTCTAAGTTTTCATATATTTTTAAAAATCTTAAACAAAAATCAAATGCTTTAATCAGACCGTTTACTTTTTAGATCTAAAAAATTATAAATTTTAATATAATCATAATTAATAAATAATTAGTTATAAAAATAATTAGATGAATGGAATATTTTCAAAAATACTATAATTTTTAATTTTAAAATAAATTATTTTCATATATTTTTAAAATATTTTAAAAATTTTAATTCTCTTTCGAAAGTATTACTTAAAAGTATTGAAAAAATATCAAAATGAAATCTTAGTTATAGAGGGACCAAATAAGATATTTTCTATTAATTTAGCATGCCACATCACCTCCTTAACAAATATTTTATAGTCACTACATATTTTTTAATAAAATCCAAAGTTTAATGTTTATTTTATAACTTTTAAAAATCCAATGACAAATGAAATCATTTTAATAAATTAAATGTTTATTTATGAATTTTACCATATTTTTATATTAATGGTGCATATCGGTGCATATCATTAGTGGTACATATCATTAGTGGTGCACATTAGTGTGTGTCACTCACTCTAGACTCATTTATTAACTTATTATATAAATGTATAAGTGTTTTCGAATAAGCACTAGAATTGTTTGAAGTATGATTATATGTGTGAATTGATACACAAAGCTTACTATATTTTCTAATTATATATAGATACAAAATTTGTAAATCATGATTAATCAAATAAGAACACTTTATATAAATGTTAATGATATGACTATATGTTACATATATATATATTATGTATGATAAATATTTTTAAAAATATTATTAATTTTACGATTATTTATAAGTTATCAATTATAACTTATGATATATATATATATATATATATATATTATTTTTTAATAGTATTTTTATTATTTTTAATATAAATTTAGTTTTTTTAGTAATTTAATTTTTATTTTTAGTATTTTTATATTTCCAATTCTAAATTTAAGATAAATTTTAATTTTTAGGAAATTAAATAAGTCCATGGACTTATTAAAAATAAATTTGGCCCTATAACAAGATAAAAAAATCAATTTAACCCATATGCAATGTCACCCGTCACATCAACAACCACCATGAATTGTCACCTTAGTATTGTGAACCGTCACGTTAACACCATAATGCACAACGATGAAAAACCAGGCCCAGCTCAATACATGTGCCAGATGGGCTTAGCCTAGGGTAACATGTTTGAGGGGGCATCAGTTTGGGTGACTTGTTCTTTAAGTTCAGATTTTGGTTTGTTTTCCTTTTTGACTGAGAGGATTTTGATGGCGACCTCTTCAACCGAGGCTTTGGTTTCTTTAAGCATATCGTAAGGAGATTTCTCGGGCTTCTGCGGCGTATCTGATGACTGTGATCTCACTTCTACCACCATTTTCTCATATATCTCTCCGTCCTCCATCTTCTTGCTTCCTCTATCTGCTTCAATTTTGGCTAAAACAACAAACCCCAAGCAAAGATGAGCTCCAACTTCGATTTGGTTGGAAATTGGAATGGCGATCTGCTCTTCCTGTTTCAACCTTTCTTTCTTTAATTGCGACAGGGTTATGGGTATTAAAACTAAGCTCTCGCAACCCAACTTTCAAGCCCAGTATTCTAAAATTGACCAAAGCATCGGCTTGAGAGAGTCGAGTAATCCATCGACTAAATGGACCATGACAACGAAGTGCTTTATGCCTTAAACATACCCAACACAGACTGCAAGAGCACTGGGATGCTTGCAGCATTTGATCTCGTAGATTCTATTTACAGCTTCGAAAGAACTACACGTTTGTTCCAATTAAAGGAAATAATAAATCTCTAGATGAATCAAATTGAAACTTGCTCATGTATAAGGCTGTGTAATTATTCTAACATAACAATGACCAAGGCATTTTATGGAAACTCTATCATAAGCTCTTCTATTTTTTTCTTCTTCAATCTAGCTATATTCCTACAATATTTTCCCTCATATTAACCGATAAACTATAATTGCAGCCTTAAGAAGCTTAAAGTTAGAATCTCTTAATTGACTATAATTTCTATTACATTTTTATTTTAAAAAAATATTTATGTTTTGTCTATTATACGGTACAAGTATAGGGGCATAAAATTATTATCTCTCCCAGTGCATTAAAACTCATTGGACCGGTCCTGTGAAAAACATTGGCCAAATGATCATATTGGATTTCTGTTCTGAGTTAGAAGGCTATATTGGATGCAAAATAATTTGAGGGTCTCTTATGCTTTTTTGCCTTTTTATTTGCACTGAACAAACCATATCAACATCGTTGGTAACTTTAACGGTGGAGTAACCAAAGTAGGAGTATTTTGAAAGTTCAAATATTAAATAGAATATTTTTAAATTTGAGTGACCCAAATAGGTGTGAAAAAAGAGTTGGTGATGAATTAAGTAATTTACCCTTAAAAAATATGAGGGCTAAAAATACGATAGCAGGTGCTGAAAGCCGAAGCAGTTTCAGCATTTTTCCTGTTTATTTAATGAAATTTGGGGTCTTGTATTGAATCCGAAACCCGATATCAGAAATGGTGTAGTTCTAAATCTGATACTATTCCTTTTCTTATTTCATTTCAATTTTCGTATTTATTTTCTCCTGTGGTTTATATCTGTTTTCCATTTTTCATATGTTTTTCTTTGAACTTTCTTTACGCGTATTTTACGAATCTAATGAAATCCTGAATTTGGAGTATGCAAGGTCTTAAGTTTCACTGTTCTTTTAGGAATTCTATTTAGCTTCGTAACATGAATATATTTTAAAAGATTATTACTTATCTTTCTTGTTGGTAGAAATGCTTTTAGCTTAATTTATGCAAAAGAAAGAAAGAATTAGCTCAGATGGAAAAGACGGTTATTATGCTTCTTTTTTTAACTATTCTTTTTTGGGTGAAATTCTAAAGTTTTAAGTTGTTTTGGTGTTCTAAAGTTGGTAATATGGACCCTTTTGTTTTTTTGTAAATTTTTAGCATAAGGAGAAATACCTAGTTTTTTTGTAACTTTGTTTCTCTGACTTTACTTTTCATAAAATACGGTTGGCATACATCCTGATTATCTGAATATGTGTACACAAGATGGGATGTGTGAAATATATGAGAAAAATGGAATAATTGAGCATATTTGTGTTGAAACAATACATGTTTCCAATACTCACCATCAAGTCGAATACCATAGGTTGCGAAATAATCATTTGTTTTATCCCTAATTCAAAACATTTTCATGAATCCGATGCGGATGGAATCCTCTATGTTCAGTCAAAAGCCCCTTTGTTTATAGCGTTGTAATAAGTATGTCATTTGATAAACTTCTGGTGATGTTGGAATTTGGCAGTAGAAGTGATTTTCATGGTAGAGAAAGAGCGAAGGGAAGGTTCAGTATTAGCTTATGTTTTGAAGTACATGAGGGAGATTTTATTTTAGTTATCAATATTTCAATTTCATGGTATGGAGCTAAGGTTTCATGTTTATGTTATGACCCTAGGTTTTTAAATACTGCTCGGATTCATGTGTGAGTGATCGATATGAGAATGTGTTTGACATGGGTATATGTTTTAAAGTTTTTCAAGTATTAGGATGATCATATCTCCATACTCAGTATCTAAATATGCATCGGACACATATACTTCATAGAAAAAAAACAGTCGAGGCAACTTTTCTTTTATGGCTTTTTGTTAGTTCTACCATAGCTGCGTGTGAGCCTTCAAGAATTAGTAAAAAGGTGACTTTTGGAGGGGTTAATAGCTTGTTGGCATTGAAAACCTATGTTATCTGAACTTGAAGGGTGAGTATCAAATATGGGTCTGTGTTTGACATGCATATTTTAGAGAAAATGAAGAGTATGGAAAGCATAGCTTAAAACTTAGTATAATTCAAAGTGACTTTCAAGAACTGTTTATGCTAAGTGATAACCTGTTGAACTAAAATTTGGCTGTAATTGAGGATTAATTGTATCTTTTCTTGTTTAAACCAATTAAAGACTTCTTATGTTACAACAATTTTATATCCATATTGCTATCTATACTTTAATTAATGAATTTCTAGATTTTTGTCAGGCTACACCATTTTTGGCTGGGCTTGCAGTTGCTGCAGCAGCTCTTGGTGGTAGATATGGAATTCAGGCTTGGCAAGCATTTAAGGCGAGACCACCAAAACCTAGGATTCGGAAATTTTATGATGGTGGTTTTCAACCTACAATGACGAGAAGAGAAGCCGCACTGATCCTCGGTGTTTGGTAAGCTTTGTTCCACATCTATAATAAAGTAAGGCAATTATATGTTATGGATGTGTTATACATTGGTAATGTCTATCTGAGAGCTAATAATATGATTTTGGATTCTAGAGAATACATGAATGACTCATTTATGAACTTCATCCCCAAGAATATTGGGATTTCGGATTATTCAACGTTGATTGTAAAGTAAGAAAAATCATATATTATGAATCTGTGATATGTTGGTAATATTCTGAGCTAATACTATGATTTCAGATTCCTTAGCATACATGAAAGGCACATTTATGAGCATCATCCCCATGAATATCTGTCAAGCTTGTGGAAAGTTAAACCTTCAATATGAATTAGTTTCCATATTTTAAGAGCAACCTCAACTTTTGGGTGATGGGAGTTTCTCATTTGAATATTTCCCAAGTAAATGTTTGAACTTCAGAAAAAATTTAGCAGCACCCTAACCTCTATACACTACGCATCGTCTTAAGAAAAATGAAGAGTCAAAGTTATATAACTTTTTGAGTACACATGATACTTGAGCAGGAGCAGGACTAGGATATGGGCAAAATAAGACTGATATTAATAGGGATGGCAATGGGCTGGATCTGGACCGGATCCATCTAGATCCAGACCCATTTTCACATCCTGGATCCAGACCCACCCCAGATCAGCGGGTCTAGAAAATTGGGACCCAGATCTAGATCCAATGGATCTCATGTATCCAAGTCCAAAAATGGGTCTATTAAAAAAATGACCATTCGACCTAGTGTTTAATGTAATAAAACTGTCATTGACTAATTTCACATCATATCTCTAATGGAGGAAAGATTAATTTCAATACAACTAGTAACATAATAAAAAACGATAAACTAAAGTCTCAAAAAAACTCCAACACAATTACGCAAATGTCTTTTGAATAACACAAACATTAAAAAATGTAGATCATGAAACTTTCTATTGTTGTAATCTGAATACTGCACTTCTACCTCCTTAGAGTGCTAGTCTTCATCACTACTTAAATCATCAACATCTTAAAACAAACAACAACCAACCGAAGAGAAAAATTTGTTGAATGAAAATAATATTTGTGAAATTTAAATATTAATATTAAGGTTATGTAATATAATAACTTTCTTATATAATGATATCCTCCACTTCATCATCACAATCTTCATTAATAGTGGAACAAACATGTGTTACTTCAAAAGTGTTTGTCATAAATAAATAAAAATTAAAGCGAATCCGGACCTGGATTCGTACTTTAATTAGAGGATCCAGATCCGTCAGGTCCAAAATTTTAGGATCCAAACCTTATAAAACGGATCTGAATCTACGGATTCGAGTCAGGTCCAAGTTCCGTTGCCATCCCTAGATACTAATATGTAAAAATCTTAGGTTTTTACAGATTTTCTTTCTCCTGGTCTTGCTATTCAAAGATCTGAACTATGTAGCTGGGTTCAAAATTATACATCAGCTTGTTTCTTTAGTACACCGTTAAACTAAATATATGAATGTTTATTTACCCATACCAAATGATTTAACAGGGAGAAAGCAATTCCGGACAAGGTCAAGGAAGCACATAGGAAAGTAATGTTTGCGAATCATCCCGATACAGGTGGTAGCCATTACCTCGCCTCGAAAATCAACGAAGCTAAAGATGTGATACTTGGGAAGAGAAAGGGCAGCGGATCTGCATTTTAAATCCTAATTGGCTTTTGAGTTTCAACAATCTGCAAGAAGTAAGAAACTTTTCATCGCCCTTAAAAACTATCCTCTTTATAGACAGTTTATCCTTGTCAAGGCTTTAGCAGCTCCACTATTTTTCCTGAAATCATAGAGATTGTAGCTCTTGTTTTAAATTCTTAGTGCACTAACTGATCCATGGTAGAGAGTTGCCGTTGATGCCTAGCTAAATTTAGTTCGTTAGGAAATTGTTGTCAAGAATTTGTATGGTTAATCTGCAACAAGTGTTTAAGATTTTTCATGAGTTTTAGTTGAATGGAATTCGAGTTCGTCTGTGATTCAAGATTCTCCTATGAAAATGAAACCATCATCAGTAGACACTTACAATTCTACGGTCATCTGCAATGGGAGTTGCGTTTGTGATATTTTCCTATAACATATATTTTGCTTAGAAGTGATAAATTTGACACTGATACAGTAATACTTTATGTTATGTACATCGATTTTAACACGTGTCATGTTATCTTATTTGTGGCAGACTCAAAATTAGTAGGCATGGCCTGTGGTTTAAGAGGTGAAAAAAGAATAAAGATGAAATTGTGATTTAAGTAGACAAAATAAATAGTATAAGATGAAGATGGTTGCTGACCTCAAAAGATGTTTATTTTCTTTTACATCTTAAACAACATTAAGATTATTGTAATAAGTATTAATAGGGGTGTAAATGAATTGAGCTTGAACGAATAAGACCGTGTTTGTGTTTGTTTGTATATTTTGAAGGTGTTCAGTTCATGTTTTGTTTAAATATTAATACCGTGTTCATGTTTATTTATTTATTATTTGTGAACATGTTAGTTTATATGTTCTGAAATAGTGAAATTAAGCCACTAGTACTCTAGCTCCTAAGACTAGTTTGAACCCCCGAAGTCCATGTGTTCAATTTAGTCTTTATCTTCATAAATATTTAAAATGTAAAAAAATAAGAAGAAAAGTATAGCCATATAAACTAGTTTATAAATAAATCGATAAACGGGCGAGCTTATAAACAAGTCGATAAATGAGTATTCAAACGAGTTTGTTCATGAACATAAACAAATTGAATACACATTTATTCATGTTTATTTTCTTATTAGATGATTATAAAAATTTTGTTTATATATTTATTTATTTAGCTTAATAAGTGAATATAAATGAGCGTTATATGAACAATTCATAAATAGTTTATCGAGCACTCTAACCATTTATACCCTTTGGCATTAATATAAATCTTCTTTTGAAGATAATAAAATTAATTTTGTCATGTTCCATTGGATCGGAAAATGGCATACAATATATTATACAAATCGAAAGAAAGACAACACCCTCGATCGAAAAATAAACAAAATTTCATTTTCAGCTTGTGATGTTAATCCCCTAGAGCTGGATCCGAACCTTGGAAACAAACATGATATGTACTACTCCAAGCGCAAGAAACATCTTCAGAGTAGGGTCAATTTGAAAATCTTGTAGAATTTGAAATTCTTATAGAAATGCTTTTTGGCTTTAAATTTACGTTTGCAACGAGATTATTGACTCAAATTAAGAAGTTAATAAAATGATACTTTTACGTTGACAAAAACTGGTTTAGAGAATCATTCCCAAACGAACAATAACATCCTTCACTAACTCCCCTATCCGACATATATCGTATCCAACTTAGAAAACTGTTGCTTCGTACCAAAAAGATCTTCAAGCTAATAAGTTGTAGTTATAAGAGAGATAATACAGGCACCAAATCAATAATCACCCCAAACGAAAAGTGAGTCTTTGAAATGAAAATTTATGATTCAAAACATGACACACAATTTGCTTCAGATTCCACTCTTCCCGCCTTTATCACATTTAACACTGATTCAAGAAGTGATATGCCGAATAAGGTCTATACACTATAATTCCAAGCAAATGGAACATTCATTTAGCTCGAAAAACTTACAAAGCAACTAAGTAAAATAGCTTGACAATGATGACGATAATAATAATAATAACATGAATTCCATAACTTAGCAAACTTAATAGTTTTATAAACAAAAATTAAAATAACCATTTTACAAAAAAACATAAATGGTCCTCGATTACAGGTGTTATTTTGTTGAGTCATTATTTTTAAAAGACATAAGACGTATCATGACCCAAATGATATTTAAAGCCCAAGCGCGGGATGAAGGCGCACGCCTTTTTTCGTAGGCGAGACACACTTTTTGTGCTAAAAAAATATATATGAATCAAGTCTAATACATATATACACACATTACTCATTGATTCATTCCTAAGCACTTAATCTCTTTCTCACGTTATGTAACTTCACTATTGTTTGTTTTCGAAACCTTAGTTTTCAAAAATGCATAAATAAAAAGTTAAAGTTACACTATAATAAATAGGTAATTATATGGAGTATGAAGAATTTAATATAAAAATAATATTAGTGATGGATTTTGATTTTTGAATTAAATTAATTATTTTATAATATGTGAATATAATAATTAATTTTAAAATAAGATATTGGAATTTTTTATTATTTTATTTAAAAAATTATACAAATTTTGATTTAGTTAATATCTTATATCAATTCTTATCATTTTATGTAATGAACTCTAATGATTTATTTTTAAAGTTGATATAAGAATATGAGTATAATTAATAAAAATGTAGTTGACAAATATAGTTGTGTAAATAATTTGTTTAATATCATAATTATATAATATTTTAATTATAAAAATATTATAATTATAAAAATAATTATTAAGGAATTATATTTATAATTATATATTTCTTATTTATATTTATTAAATATTTATATTTATAAAAATAATAGTTACTAAATATTTTTATATTTGAATTTTATTTTGTATTCTATTTATTATATTAATTTAATATATTATTTGTTATCTTAATTATATTACAATAAAAGAATAAAGAAAAGTGACGAGAATTAAAGAATAAAAAAATGATGGGACAAAATTGCAAGATTCTACCTAGGCCTGTAAATGAACTGAACGTTCAGCGAGCCGTTCATGAACCGTGCGGCGGGAAGTTCGTTTATGTGCGTTTATTTATTAAATGAACGAACATGAACAATATTTTATGTTCGTTTAATTAAATGAACGAACATGAACATAGGTCTCGTTCATTCATTTACGTTCGTGAACGTTCGGTTATGTTCGTTTATGTTCGTTTGATTATGTTCATTTATGTTTAACCCAATCTTCTTAAATCAATTTTGGTGACCAATTTGTAAGTATCTTAAAAATATTAATTAATCTGATATTCTGATGACCAACTCCATAATTAACCCAATTTTATTTGGAGAAATCCAATATGTTAACCCGTGAGGCACCTCGCACCTATATTCATTTTCCCCATTTTTTCCCAAACCCTAGTGTTCACTGAAGAGTAGAGACGATCGGTGAAAGCTTCAAAACAAGTTATATTATAGTGCAATCTGAAGTTTTACATGTATGTTTTTATCTCTTTCTTTGTTTTATTTGGCTTAATAGTTGATATATAAAGTTATTGTGGGTATCTTCACATCTAAAACTCAAGAAAATATCATACTTCTTTTTAGAAATAGATGAGAAGATAAAGGAAACAATCGGAAGTATATGAGCATCAGTAAAGAGAAAAATATATAGAATTTGCCAAAAAAAAAAAAACAGAACAAAGGTTTCTATGCAATTTCTGAAAAAGAGTGTAATAGCGGAAGTAATGGGTTTTTCAAGAAGAACCAATTAATAAGTTGAAAATACACTTTGACAATGAACTTTTGTTTTCATAGTTCTTGTGTGATCTTTAGTTGTGGAGTAGACTTTAGGTACGTTAAAATTTTGAATGGTGGTTTAGCAATAATATCAGTTAGATATGTAGCATCGGAGGGATTTCGAATCTATGTTATTGCCTTGTAGTCCAATTTGTACCGTTCGAAATTTTCATGCTGTTAAATTTTCTACTCTGCCAATGGAAATGATCATTATTAACAAATCTCACTAAAGTCTGACATTGATGTCACAAAACTTTTATCCAACGAATTTATTAGAATAACGTAGTGGAAAATGATTGTTCATATGTAATCATAGACCACTAAGATAAATGCTATAGCGTTAAATTAAAGTCGTGTGAATCATTTAATATCTTTAAAAGATCGATCGAAATATCTGATATCTTCAAACATTTCATCACTGCTAATCAACTCTTACGCTATTTATCACTGTAGATTGGGTTGATTTGTATTGTCGACTATTTTTCATGAAAGAACAATGGAAGGTAGGGTCTCCAACATTTACGTTCGTTTATGTTCGTGTTCGTTTTTTTATTAAATGAACGAACATGAACAAGCTATATTCCTTAATGAACGAACATGAACAAAAAAATTTTAATTCATTTATTTATTAAATGAACGAACATAAACATACTTCCATTCGTGTGCGTTTGATTCGTTTACATGCCTAATTCTACCTATTATATTAGTTTCTTTACTCTGTTATAACAACAAAGTAAAAAGAAATGAAAGGCAAAACGACAGAAACGGTGCGCTTGTCGCCTTTCCCAAAAGCTTAAAAAGCGTGCGCATATATGAGCTTTCCATATCTCGCTCTGCTTCCATCTTTAAAATCAAGATTGAATTTTAACTTTTTAAAGATATAAAATATTCTATTAATTATAAGATATTATTTTGTTGAGTCATTAATTATTAAAATTTATAAAATAATTATTATACTATTCATATATTCTAAACTTAATGGGTGACAATTTTATAATTTTTAATAGTCATGAGGTTTAACAAAATAATGCTTTATAATTGAGAGACTATTTTATAACTTTAATAGTAAGAGATTAGCGAAACAACATCTTATAGTCAGATACTATTGGTGTACTTTACTAGTTTCTGATAAATATTTTCAATATATTTCTGAAATTAATAAAGAAAAACAAAATTTTCATTTAAAAATAAAAAAAAATCCAAAATCAAACCTTGAACTAAAAATGCAACGTTGCCGAATGTTTCATTCAACGATATATTAAAATCATCATAAAAAAAACTAAAATCCTAAATATCTGAACATTTATTAATCCAACTAAGCTTTGGAAAAAAATCTAGCAATTACAGAGATGATAGAGAAAGGCCTAATTAACCTGGCTGAATTTGATCCGTAAAGTAGAATTAACTTCACCAAAAGTATGACGAAGTGTAGCGAACTCTTTGCGAGCCTCATTGGAGACTAAAAGGTTACTCATATCTTCCCTATCAACGTTCTTTGATGCTTTGAATGTCACATCAACAACTTTCTTCACCGTTTCGCTCATTTTTCTCGCACTTTCTCACTTCCCAAATGTTAAATTTTTTGGATTATCTCTTTCTCTGCTTCCGCTGATCTGACGAGTGCGAAATAATAGTCTTTATTCAAAATTGATGAGAAAAATTGAAAATTCAAACATTTAGTTGGGTCGGCTTGAACCAGTTACTATGCCATCTTTCACATTGAGCATGTGCGCAATCACTTATCCAAGGTTTCAATTATGATGAGAAAATGTCACATGATGCTTTTAAATTGTTGTTGAGATCAAAGATTGTCTTTGGGGGGTGA